ATCTCTTCTATGGTCTCAACCGGTGATCAGATGGCTATCAATCAAACAAAGATTTAGCGAACACTTAGAAAACGATGGATCAGTCTATGAAAGGATGAATGAATTCTTTCTTTTCCTTTCAGAAAAAAACTATATAAACAGAGAATCTTATCGTCAAATTCAGAGTTATATCATTGTCTCGAACTTCACTTCATTTGAAACAATTCTTGAGTCGAAATGAATTCACAAAAAAGTCTAATGATTTTGAGTATTTTGGTGGTTGTAATCGTGATAACGTCGGCCTGTTTTATAACCAACTGTCCTCCGGGAGGCAAAAGGTCTTTGAGTCACGAGACGCCCAAAAAACAGGTATTGAATCACATGTTGTAAGCTCTAAATTGTGTTAATGTTAACTAATTAACTGCATTTCAGTGCACGCGTTGCGGTCCGTCGGGAAGCGGACGCTGTTTTGGCGCCAACATATGCTGCGGCGGATCCATTGGCTGTCATCTTAACAATAAATTTACGGCCGTTTGCAGTACTGAGGACTATAGCCCTCATCCCTGTTATAATGAGGGCAGACAATGCGCTAACGGCAAAGNGCTGTTTTGGCGCCAACATATGCTGCGGCGGATCCATTGGCTGTCATCTTAACAATAAATTTACGGCCGTTTGCAGTACTGAGGACTATAGCCCTCATCCCTGTTATAATGAGGGCAGACAATGCGCTAACGGCAAAGGTGTCTGTGCTCTAGACTCGACCTGTTGTACATCAGGTACTGTCCCATAATCTCACAAAATTTGTATTAATTAATAATTTGTATTGTTTTTAATGCCATTTATTATTTGATTGAATAGAGGGCTGTTTTATTGATAAAATATGTCAAACAAATCAAATGAAAGGATCGGCCGACGAGAAGATTTGGTCCAATTATTTGGAATCACTTTTTTAATTATCATGTGTAAATTACTTAATTTTCAGTCATAATTATTGGATTCTGTCAATTGATTATATATATTAAATATTTTATAGTTTGGAAACATGTTAATAAAATTAATATAATTATTATTTAATTAACAAATTCTTTGTTTATACCTTATTTACATTAATTAAATATTTTTGATTTCTATATTTAATTATTACTTTCAAAAATTATTAAAATTTTATGCATTTAAATATACTATAAAATCAATACATTTAATTAACAAATTCTTTGTTTATACCTTATTTACATTAATTAAATATTTTTGATTTCTATATTTAATTATTACTTTCAAAAATTATTAAAATTTTATGCATTTAAATATACTATAAAATCAATACATAATCAATTCGTTTTAGGCATAGCCAGTTTTGGTTTATCATATTCAACTTAATTGCCTATACATACACTTCTATAAAACGTATATTCTTATATTTAAATGTTACACAATAAGGTAAGTAACTGTGTATGCAAAATAAATAGATATAATATAGGGCAGATAAAAGTGTTAGCAATGTAGTATCAAGGTGAGAATTGTACCAGTTTTGCATTTGTCAATCAATACAAATACGGCTTTAAATGAAGAATATGTTGTCCAACGAACACAAATCTGTTGGCATAACAGCAAAACATGTCATTAAATGACAATCAATTTATAAAAATTATATGTCAAACACTTTCCAAACGTTAATATTTTATTGATTTCTTTCGTAACAAAGAATATTCTAATGACTATCAAAATAAGCGTTTCTTTTGCGTACAAAACATTTTAGTCTCAATTTTTAGTTCAAGTGTTGAATAATTTTCAAGGACTCGGAATATATTCTGTGCTCAAAGTCTGATACATAGAATGAATTAAACATAAGATAAAATGTTTAAAATCTGGATTTTTGTTTTGCTATTTTTTGGACAATTAATTTGCTCTTTTGGCACAACGCCTCAAGTGTTAAGATTGGGTTTGTATTCACTAAATAATTATTAAAACTTAATTAAATAATTCTAAGTTTTCATTTATTTTTCTTTTTTTCAATAATCTTAGGCTTAATTTTGGACTACAATATCGAGACCGTGAGAGCGATTACCAATGAGACCATAAACCGTTTGGTCGATGACTTTAAGCAACAATTGGTGAGCAATGTGTCCGTCGAAACACATATTATCTCAGATTTTGCTGATTTTGAAAACGATGTCGAAGAAGACCCGTCTGTTTGTAAGTCTTATTAATTGCAATATAATTATTCGTTATAATTTATAAGTTATAAATTATAACTTATGAACATTAAAATTTTGACAATTCTTTTAGTTACCTATTTTATTTATAGGCTATAAAATATTTATAGGTATAAATTATTGATTCATTAATGAATTTGTTCTTTTACTTTAATTAAATTTAAAATTGATTGTTTTCTTTGAATGCGTTTTATTATAAATAACTTTTTATTACAAAATTTCATATTTTATCACTTGTTTTCATTAATACGAGTCCTCTTCACACAACTCTAAATATAATTTTTGTATTTAAATATAATGTATTTTTATATCATCTACAGAATATATTTACTTAAGAATCGTGAGAATAACACAATACTTATACAGTAAATGTTTAATTCAGTAAACATTAATTCTTAATCAAATATACCGTATAATGATATTGTGTTCATAACACTAATCCTTATATCCCATTGAATGATATTCTTGTAGTTTTGATGTGCATTACTAAGAGTTAAACAAAAGTAATAATTCTTTCTCTTTTTTCTCATTCAATCATTCGCTGATTCATTCACCAAAATAAATATAACAATACTAATACATAATATATCATAGTACATAATATATTATATTATATTAGTATTATTTTTACCATTATAAATTTACTAATGTGCAAGTAAGATATAGTTTTAAATTATAATAATTTTATCTTTAAATACTTCACAAAAATGAAAAATAATATATAGGCTTCTATTAAGAAAGTTGGTTTCAGTAAAATAAGCTCACGAGTCAGAATAGTGGGAGAATTTTAAATAATGTAAAGTTCAATCTTTCTTAATTTAGCAGTTGATTGACAAACGATATGATATATTTAATACAATTTACAACAATTAAATTGATTTGAAATAACAATTAGGTAAACAGCTTATGGTCATAATAAGTGCTTTGAAATGTGCAAAAACCAAAATTCTGTATTCATTACTACGAGAGAACTGTCCGTCAACTCTATTGTTGTCCGTAATCGAGAACAACTGTATGCGACCGCCGGCTGACCAGGGATTAGGATTTCCAGGTCTCACTTCTTTGCATTTAGTTTATAGCATATTATTTGTTCACTAATTTATATATTATACAAATTAATTTAGTTATGAAATCAATTAATGATATAATACCAATGCTAATCGATATGAAGTATGACTTTATGAGTGAATGGGATCACATCCATCTAATCCACGACCACAGATTAGGTTTGAATTTAATAAATATGAGTCGAAGGATATTTTGCTTTTAAAAATGGTTAAAATATAGACACAAAAACATTGGATGACTTAATTAAGGGATTGAAAGGAGTCTCTGGTTCTGGAATCAGAGGCACAACAGTTACTACTTATAGGCTTACGATTACTGGCGACGAAT